ATAGGAGGAGACAGACACTCAACATTTGTCTTTTTGGTTTGTTTGGACGGAGGTTGTATAGAACGTGGAATAGTGATACGTAGGTGATAGGTGCTGTCACCGATGTGCAGTGTCACTGATTTGACAGAAGCTGAGGGTGGGACCAATGACTTTGTTTCTTTAGATTCATGAGTACTTAATCGCCCTTTTTTCTTTCTCTTTCCTACGGACAGAGAGAGAGACAGACAAAGAGATAGGTGAACTCCAGAGGGAAAGAAAAAGAGAGCGAGAGACCGCAGAGGATGATCTATAGATCAATGGTCTTGGTCCTCTCCAATATCTCTGGTTGCTATGGAGGTCTATACTCTGTTCCAGAGGCCCTGAACACTGTAACCTGAGCTGTAGCCTCAGACATAGGCCTCGTGACTCACACAGAGCCTAATGATGCTCTCAGACATAATGTATTCAAACCATTCCACAGCAGTCAAGTTCCAGGGCCTCCATAGGAGGATCATTATTAACTCCTTTATGACTCCTGGGCAATACTACTGACCAATAATAATCAACAGAATGTTCAGGATTGACCAACTGACAAACTCATGTGCTCCACCGGTGTATTTATGGTTGCCCCGCTCACCCCGGTTTTTGGCAATGGTAGAACTCACACTGGTCGGCTAGATGGATCCGGTGGTTCTAGACTTGCCAACAACTGACTGAGAGCTTACCAGCCAGCCACATCCACCCAGCAACCACGTGGCAACTACCCCCTTCAGGCCAGATGTTGATGGATTTAAACGGCAAGAATGACACTGCAGCCTTTGATGACCAGAGTTCTTCTAAACCTGAGACACGACAGGAGTGTCAGGTGAGCGTGACTCATTGAGTGTTGATTGGATGAGGCAGAGAGAGGAGGGGTGTGTGTGACAGGTGTGTAAGTGACTCTGGGCAGAGCAGAGAGAGGGTTAAACAGACTGTCCCATCCTGCACCCGCGCAGTCTCAGAACACTCATCACCATGGAGACCGGGAGGAACACAGCCATAAAAGCCTTCTGGGGTTTAGACACACAGACAGACTTCTTCAGTATGGTGAACAAATTATGGGCAGAAGAACAAGCATCCCCCTTCCTCTTGCTCTGACTCTTCCTCTCTCCCTCAGGTCCCAGGGCTCTCAGTAGCAGTGTGCCATCCTCCTGGGGCATCTGTGCTACGATTAGCTGATTATAACATATACTCCCAGAGTAACCTTAGACTTCACAGAGGAGTATGTGTGAGTGCATTTCAGTCACAGGGGTTGTAACAGAGATCCATACACACCCCATTAATGATTAACCTCACTGGAAAGAGAAGTGCATCCTACCGAGATTTGCCCCAATCAACGAATCAATCAATCAATTTGATTGATTCATATGCTTTCCCCGTCGTAGGGATGGTTTTGGCTGGGGCTCGAGATGGGGCTGGAGTATAGGGCTGGGGCTGGGTAGTGCGTGAGTGTAGTGGAGTATGTAGCAGTGTAACAGTGATGTGAGGTGGATTAGAGCCTGTGTTGTCCCTGCAACAGCAGAAGGGCCTGCTGTAAATCCTGGGCTTTAGCGTTAGCCACAGCCACGCAGCTTATGATGCAACCAGCTCCCCCTCTATGGTACCACGGGTTGGAAGTGAGAGGGGAAGAGAGCAGGGGAGAGATTGAGAAAGGAGAGGAGAGGAGAAGAGAAGAGAGAAGGAGGGTGCAAAGTGGTCTTGATGATGTAATTTTTACACGAATCAGCTTTCAAACACTGCAGTTCATCGGGTTCAACACAGAGTGGGGAGGTTCACACACACACATGCACACTCTGATGCATGCACACACATATTCCATAGTACATGGTTAAACTGGTGGCTATAGAGAGAGGGCAGTGTGCTGCTGACACACTGACAGTTGCTGGTGGTGGTTAGACCATGTAGCCATGATGGAGGGGATCAAAGACACACACACACACACACACACACACACACACTGACCTATATGGTGTGCCAAAAAAGACCCCTGGGGGGAGACCAGAGGAGGTTTAAGGTAGGTAGGAAGAGTGTGTGTGTGTTACATGTGCGGTTTGGAAAATTCGGACAAGTGGGGACATTTCGCCGGTCCCCACAAGGAAAAAGGCTATTTTAGGGGTTAGGTTTAGTGTTAGGGTAAGAATTAGTGTTAGGTTTAGTTTTAGGGATACAGGGTTAGGGTTAGGGTTAGGGGTTAAGGAAAATAGGATTTCGAATGGGAATTAATTGTTTGGTCCCCACAAGGATAGTAAAACAAACGTGTGTGTGTATGTTTCTAAGACCCGCCCGGTCACTCATGGGTTATAGGTGGCAGCAGGGCAAGAGGAGAAGAAATGGGTTTAGGTGAGAGGGTGGAGGAAGAGGGTGGATGAGAGGGAGGGGGGGGGGGGGGGGGGGGGGGTAAATGGATCCCATTATCAGCCACTTAGTGATGGTAAACAGAGCAGGGCAGGGGAAATGACTGTACAGCTGATCACACTGTATTCATGTCTTAACGCTGCATGAATGTTGGTCTATGCTGCATGTATGGGAGGTATGGGAGGATGTAGGTGCTCTCGTGATACCTTCTAAATTGTCCCCAAGAGGATTGATAAAGTTCTAGTAAATGTATTTGTATTGTATTGTTGTACATTACAGTATACTATATGGTAACAACTGAACATAGAGCCTATAGAAACAGGTGGTGGGCAGGTGAGAAAGTAAGAAGGGAAGGTGGGGTCTGAAAGATGAAGTGTGGAGGGTGACAGATAAAAAGAACAGGTAACACATTGTAACACACACACACACACACCACCACCACTTCATCTCAACAAGCTTTCACAGTCTCACGTCAGAATTAGACGTTCATCCATGTTTCTCAAACGTCAAATTTCGAAGTTGTTCCAAACGTCAAATTTCAAAGTGTTTAAGGTTAAGTTTAGGCATTAACTCTGAATTTGTAAGGTTAGGGTTAAGTTTAGGCATTAACTCTATCGAATAGTGACTTGTATGACAGGTGACCTGGCTGCTTCATCCTTGATGTGATCCTTTTAGCCTGCTTTAAATAACCACAATGCACTGGGGTTTCGGGGAAGGGTTAAATTCTAGACCTGTTTTTAAAAATTCTAGACCTGTTTCAGTGAGTACACAGACACACACGCATGCACACACGCACCTACACACACACACTGGATTACAGTAATCCAGGGACAGAGGGTATTTTTAGGTCTGTGTGGCCAGAGATCTACACCCATGATAGGCATGGTGCACTGATCTAGGAAAACATGCAACAATTAGTTAATTAGTTGTGCCTTGGATTGCTTTTATGGTTGAACTGACAACTGTTGCTTTTCATACAGAATAAAAAAAGGCAAAAGCAATTTGCTCATGTATTGAGATCCATCTGTGTAATACTACTTTGGGAGAGTTTTGTAATCTCATTGCATTGGCCAGAGACACTATGGAATACTGCCACCTGGTGCTTAGTATGACCACAGCAAACACATAGCAAATCATTTTTCAATGTTCCTGTCTGTGTAAGTGGGCGTTCTCTCTCTTGCGTGAGCATGCTTTCCCACATGAGCTCAAGGTTCCTCCATAATCTCTGGCATGCTCACACGAGAGAGGGAACGCCCACTTACACAGGATTTTTTCTACGGGAAACTGCCCAATAACAGCTGGCTCTGGTCTACTTATTGTCCTCTCCCCGCTCGCCACACCTGCCCCGCCCTGAAAAAACGAGCCAGTGAGATGTCTCACTTTCTCTACCGTCTCTGCACATAGCAGCCTACATTGGAGAAAGATGGATGAGAGAGATACCAACCCCCATCTGTCGAGATATCTGTCGTAGATATGAAAAGATAGGAGGGGTGTACGCAATATGGTGGAAACCCAACCAAGCCCTCTGAGTCAGAGTAGAGTGCAGCAGAGCAGACAGAGGAGAACCCAGGGGAGTCCTTCTGTGTCTAGGTAATACTGTGTAGCATTGAGGCTTCTAAAGCACTGCTTTAAAATGACAGGTCACACAGCTATCTTATTGCCTCTTCTTCCAACATTATCCCATAAACACTTTAGAACATGATATAATCATCTGTCTGAAGGATCATTATCCATGAGTGCTGATGGATAGGAGAGAGAGAGTGGAAGGCGGAGAGAGGGAGGGAGGGGGGGGGGGGGGGGGGGTGCTGACTGTGCTCTTCCCAAAGACACACACACACACACACTACACTCCACAGGCGGCCGATGGCACCTTAATTAGGGATGACGTGCTTTAGTAATGGCGGGGCGTCATTGCACCACCAGGTGGGCATAGTTAGAACTACTGAGACACAAACACCAGCTGTTTGTCTGAGGAGAGGAGTTTATGAGACTGACTAGCAGGTGGGTCACAACTTTATCTTTGAAAAAATACAATAAAAAAATGTAAAATTAAAATTGTATTAATCTTTTACCTTTTGGTTATTGCTTATCTGCTTTTGTTTACATTCAGAAAGTTGAAACATTATTTAGATATCTTTTGAAAGATTTGTAACTGAAAGTAAGATTAAAATCTATAGAAAAGTTGATAATCTGTGTTTCTCTATTACAAGTTCACGTACACCTCCTCCAAACCCAGGCTTCTGGGCACTAGAGTCCTCTATCTATATGGGTCAGATGGCTCAGCAGGGGTCAGGGGTTAAAGGTCAGTCAGACCATCATGGTTGGGGTGTTACACATCAGCGCTGGGTTATAGTTGCCCCACAAACACAAATCTGAGCCAGGTCTCCCTGGTCCTCCCTCCCTCTGAGCCACACATGTGTTTGTGGTGCTCTGGTGTATCTTTGGTCTTCACTTCCATGGATTAGTACCTGCAATGAACACACTCACTGTTAGCCACAGGAACATACTGTAAAACCAAATTACATTACTGTTCATGTTCATTTCTGCTTTTAGTGTATATATGTGCATAATATGCTTGAGAGTAGGCAAGTGCAGATGTGAGTGTGTGTGTGTGAGTTTCCCCACCTGTAGTAGTTTGGTTTGAAGGGTCCGGTCTTAGTGAGGCCCAGGTATTTGGCCTGCTCATCAGTCAGCTCTGTGAGGTGGGCGTCAAACGTTGGCAGGTGGAGTCCGGCCACAAACTCATCTGAAAACACGCATGCAGGCACACACACAGTCACACTATACCCTGTCAAAACCGGAGTAACGAAGCAGTAGGTAGGTAAGGTGGTGTGTTTTACCCATCTTCTTTGGCAGGAGGTAGACGTCTTTATTGTATCGTCCCTCTGGGGCATTGTACAGCTCAATCAGAGCCAGCGCCTGAGGGCATTACGTTATGTTATAGAAGTAGTATACCTAGAACAGAATTAAATTACAGAGAGAGTGTGGCTACAAAGGCCAGTCGCTTCTCATAGTGCATACAGTGAGGGAAAAAAGTATTTGATTCCCTGCTGATTTTGTACTTTTGCCAACTGACAAAGACATGATCAGTCTATAATTTTAATGGTAGGTTTATTTGAACAGTCAGTGACAGAATAACAACAAAAAAATAATCGCATGTCAAAAATGTTATAAATTGATTTGCATTTTAATGAGGGAAATAAGTATTTGACCCCTCTGCAAAACATGACTTAGTACTTGGTGGCAAAACCCTTGTTGGCAATCACAGAGGTCAGACGTTTCTTGCAGTTGGCCACCAGGTTTGCACACATCTCAGGAGGGATTTTGTCCCACTCCTCTTTGCAGATCTTCTCCAAGTCATTAAGGTTTCGAGGCTGACGTTTGGCAACTCGAACCTTCAGCTCCCTCCACAGATTTTCTATGGGATTAAGGTCTGGAGACTGGCTAGGCCACTCCAGGACCTTAATGTGCTTCTTCTTGAGCCACTCCTTTGTTGCCTTGGCCGTGTGTTTTGGGTCATTGTCATGCTGGAATACCCATCCACGACCCAATTTCAATGCCCTGGCTGAGGGAAGGAGGTTCTCACCCAAGATTTGACGGTACATGGCCCCGTCCATCGTCCCTTTTGATGCAGTGAAGTTGTCCTGTCCCCTTAGCAGAAAAACACCCCCAAAGCATAATGTTTCCACCTCCATGTTTGACGGTGGGGATGGTGTTCTTGGGGTCATAGGCAGCATTCCTCCTCCTCCAAACATGGCAAGTTGAGTTGATGCCAAAGAGCTCGATTTTGGTCTCATCTGACCACAACACTTTCACCCAGTTCTCCTCTGAATCATTCAGATGTTCATTGGCAAACTTCAGACGGGCCTGTATATGTGCTTTCTTGAGCAGGGGGACCTTGCGGGCGCTGCAGGATTTCAGTCCTTCACGGCGTAGTGTGTTACCAATTGTTTTCTTGGTGACTATGGTCCCAGCTGCCTTGAGATCATTGACAAGATCCTCCCGTGTAGTTCTGGGCTGATTCCTCACCATTCTCATGATCATTGCAACTCCACAAGGTGAGATCTTGCATGGAGCCCCAGGCCGAGGGAGATTGACAGTTATTTTGTGTTTCTTCCGAATAATCGCACCAACTTGTCAGCTTCTCACCAAGCTGCTTGGCGATGGTCTTGTAGCCCATTCCAGCCTTGTACTACAATCTTGTCCCTGACATCCTTGGACAGCTCTTTGGTCTTGGCCATGCAGGAGAGTTTGGAATCTGATTGATTGATTGCTTCTGTGGACAGGTGTCTTTTATACAAGTAACAAGATGAGATTAGGAGCAGTCCCTTTAAGAGTGTGCTCCTAATCTCAGCTCGTTACCTGTATAAAAGACACCTGGGAGCCAGAAATCTTTCTGATTGAGAGGGGGTCAAATACTTATTTCCCTCACTAAAATGCAAATCAATTTCTAACATTTTTGACATGCGTTTTTCTGGATTTTCTGTTATTCTGTCTCTCACTGTTCAAATAAACCTACCATTAAAATGATAGACTGATCATTTCTTTGTCAGTGGGCAAACGTACAAAATCAGCAGGGGATCAAATACTTTTTTCCCTCACTGTACATGTAGCACTCCACAGTACAGCTTGTGTGTTTGCTGCGACCATGACTTTCCCTGCTGTGTGAGAGACAGACAGACAGACCTGTGTGGTGGCGGTGATGGAGAGGATGAAGGTGGGTATCGTGGAGCAGCTCAGGTTCAACAGACGACCCTGAGAGAATATACACACACACACACACACACACTGTGAATCACACACACACAACCCAGTGATCAGTGGTCACACACACACACTGACCTCAGCCAGTAAGATAATTCTCTTGCCATCTGGCCAGATGACATGGTCCACCTGTGACCTCACTCTCTCCCAGGTCAACTCTGGGCTCCGCAGACTCACCTGACAGAGGAAAAACACAGTCTGTCAACCTCATACACACACGCACGCACGCACGCACGCACGCACGCACGCACGCACGCACGCACGCACGCACGCACGCAAGTCTCACCACGTCTATCTCAGTGTTGGAGTGACCCATGTTACAGACGATACAGCCGTTCTTCATTCTGTCCAGATACTCTCTTCCCACCACATTCTTGTTGCCTGAGGACAAAACTGAGGCTGTTATATCCTGTTAAAAGCTGTCATAACCTGTCATGGTCTATCATTACCTAGGCTGACAGGATGGGGGGGGGGGGGTTGTTGGGGCTGGAGCTAGGGTTAGCGTTAGGTTTGAGGCTGAGGTTAGGGGGTTGGGGGTGAACTGGGATGCGGACATGAAGCTAGGGTTAGGGTTAGGGTTGTGGTTATGGTTGAGGGTTAGGGTTGGAATTAGGGTTAAAGGAATAGTTGACCTAAATTACAAAATTACACATTTGTGTCATTACCCTGTAAGCAGTCTATGGAGAAGGTATGACAGCAATCCATGCTTTGGTTTAGTTTCCCTGGCAATGTTTCCACATGCTAACGTTTTATCATTTGTGGCACAAATCCCATTCAAGTCATGGGACCGATGTTAGCATTTTTCGCACATCATGTCCAAATAATCTGAAAGTATCTCATATTGAGATATAAAGTGGTTATCCCACTGGCTATAAGGTGAATGCACCAATTTGTAAGTCGCTCTGGATAAGAGCGTCTGCTAAATGACGTAAATGTAAATGTAAATTGATTGTGAAGCTCAACAAAGTCACTTATACATGATTTGAACAAGATGTGCGAAAAATACTACGGATGATACACTGGCAAGGTTTTGAGGCAATGTTGCTGGCAACAGAGTGGGTATGAGACATTGGAGCTATGATGAGCAATGAACAATATGGATATGAATAATACATTTCATATAAAGCATAGATCAATTAAAAACTAAATTTCCCCATTTATTTACTCATCTCCTATAGCTTGTTATTGCCTGTTGACTGCCACAGCTGTACAACAATTCATAAGATAACAAACAAGCAACAAAGCGGTGTTGCCCCTGCCCTGTTCATCCACTCAACCTGCTTCCAGGTTGCTAACAATCTGGCTAGCTAGCTAGCTAATTTTGCCAATTTGTCCCATTGACTATACATGGGCTTTGATTAGCATGCTAATCAATTAGTATGCCCCAGCGTGGATATTGTCGTCAGTTAAACATGACAAACTGAACACAGTATGTATGTAGTAACGTATCATGATCAAATATTGTGATGAGGAAACATTTGATGGGTGAATAGCCAACATTTCACTGCAAAACGGGAGTTCATTTTCGCTCACTTCAGCTCAAAAACGGCCACCATGTTTCCAACATTTTAAGAACGCAAACTGATCACATAACCAATATCTGCGCTATGATTGGAGGATTCCTAAAAATTGCCCACTGGTGGAGCTGCCGATCAAAATTATAAAAAGTTGCTAATTTTCAATGGAAAAATTTTGCAGCAACCATTGCTGGCAACATAGCTCAGCAATATTGCTTCAAAAAAATTGCTAGTGTATTATCAGCTTTAGAGTTAGGGTTGTGGTTGAGACTGTTAGGGTTGAACCGTGATGTCGACATGACGCTAAGGTCTCTTTACTAGACCATTCACATTACCTCTGTGGGTGATGACATCATGTCTTACCCGTGCAGGTGATGACCATGTCCACCTGTCTGATGACCTCATTGAGCTTGACCAGTCTGAAGCAGTCCATGCTGGAGAAGGGAGAGACATAAACACAAATAGTTAAAGACTTGCTTCTGCCACCTACATGTCTTAACCCTTTTTCTGTACACACACACACACTCACACACACCCTCTGTAGTCATACCAGGCCTGCAGGGCACATATGGGGTCCACCTCTGTGATGTACACTATTGAGCCCATGGCCTTCAGAGCGGCAGAGCAACCTTTACCAACCTAGCCGGGGGAGGAGAGGGTAGAAAGAGAAACATTCTTACACACAGATGGAATAAACACATAGATAGAGAGAACAATTCAGACTTGGTGTTTAATAGGTGCCAATACAATACTGACCTCTCCATAACCACACACCACCACCTGCTTTCCCCCAAACATCACACCGGTCAACCATTTCAACCTAGGGGGAGATGGGAAGCCAAAGGTCACACACACAAAAAGTAAAAGGTCACACACAAACAGACACACACACACACACAAACACACATGTTATTTCTGCATCTGTGTGTTTTAGTATATGTACCCATCCAGTATGGATTCCCTGCAGCAGTAGAGGTTGTCAAACTTCTGTTTGGTGACTGAGTCATTGACGTTCATAGCAGGAACACACAGCCTCCCTGCCTTGGACAGCTGGTACAGCCTTGGGAAGAAGGGAAACACTGCTACCTTAGCACAACACATAGGCTGTGTCTCAAATGGCACCCTATTGCCTATTGTTATGGATTAGGTTAGGTAGTTTAGACAGCACACTACAGCTCACTACCACTTCCATACTCCATTCCCCCAGGGGGAAGCAGCAACCTTGTCCAGTTGCTGAGCCTGGTTGATAAGGACACAGGTGCTGCCAATTAAGATGGTCGGAGATTATACAGCGAGGACCGTGAGATGGCTGAAGCAGAAGTGTCGTTTGAAGCTGAAAGCGCGTAGAGTACAGTTAGTGAGAAAGATGAGTCCAAGAATGGAACAAAAAGGGCTAACATTGTTGTGGAAAGAGTCTGATGAATCGTTCCTTGTTGGAGTACGTTTTTTGGATGAAGATGTTAATTTGGGAAACCCTTTTGAAGTCACAAAGATGGTGAAGAAGGCGTTGGGAAAAGTGGACGCAGTCAAAGTAACCAGGAGTGGTATGGTGTTGATATGGTGTGTATCTATAGAGCAAAAGGAGCGTGCATTGTGGCTTGTGAAAATATTGACGCATGAAGTGAACAGCTTTGATTTTCGGAGCAGGGCACCGGTAAAATGTGTTATTTCTGTTTTATTTATCTGTATTATTGATGTTTGATGAGTATTTACCACCCTATGTAAAGTTGGGATATATAAGAGACGTTGTAAGAGCATTCATGCAAAACAGATGCAGATGTTTTTTATGTGTCAAGTGTTTGCAGATGGAAGGAATATGTTATTGAAGAGTCTGTGAATGTAAAATGTTTCAACTGTGGTGGGGATCATATTTCCGAATTCTCTGAGTGCCCTATTAGGGTGAAAGAGGTTGAGGTGTCAAGGAACAGGGCTGTACAGCAAATCTCCTATGTGGAGGCGGTGAAGAGCGTTGAAGGGGCAAGAGGTCATAGTTCTGAAGAAGACATGGCGGTGGATGCAACACAACCAGTTGCAACTGTTAAACTTAAATCAAGTGATCTGGATACACTTATTGTGAAAAAGGTGGATTTTGTAGCATTTATAGCTACAGTTATTAATTGTACTGCACAAGTTTCCAATAAGTCCAAGAAGCTGAACATCATCACAGCTGCAGCCGAGAAGTTTTGGGCCTCCAAGACTGAACAGCAGAAGCACTGCAAGGACTACTGTCGCCAGGAAATGTCCCGCCATCACAGGATCCTTCTGAACCTGTGTAGGGACCTGATTAAAACAGAAAAGCAGGCTGATTTAGTTTAATTAACATTTCGTTACTGATAGTTTGTATGGATTTTTTTTAATCACTTTTCTTTTTTGGGGGGGATCCTTATTATCCACCTGTACATTAGAGAAACGGCAGTCCATCTTTACTTTATTACATGAAGGTCAATACGGAACATTTCAAGAACTTTGAAAGTTTCTTCAAATGTAGTCGCAAAAACCATCAAGCGCTATGATGAAACTGGCTCTCATGAGGACTGCCACAGGAATGGAAGACCCAGAGTTACCTCTGCGGCAGAGGATAAGTTCATTAGAGTTACCAACCTCAGAAATTGCAGCCCAAATAAATGCTTCACAGAGGTCAAGTAACAGATACATCTCAACATCAACTGTTCAGAGGGGACTGTGTGAATCAGGCCTTCATGGTCGAATTGCTGCAAAGAAACCACTACTAAAGGACAACAATAAGAAGAAGAGACTTGCTTGGGCCAAGAAACACAAGCGGCCAAGAAACACAAGCAATTGGACAGTAGGAAATTTGTCCTGGTTTGGGCTTAGTGGGACTATAATTAGTTTTTCAACAGGACAATGACCCAACACAACTCCAGGCTGTGTAAGGGCTATTTTACAAAGAAGGAGAGTGATGGAGTGCTGCATCAGATGACCTGGCCTCCACAATCACCTGACCTCAACCAAATTGAGATGGTTTGGGAGTCGGACCGCTGAGGGAAGGAAAAGCAGCCAACAAGTACTCAGCATATGTGGGAACTCCTTCAAGACTGTTGGAAAAGCATTCCAGGTGAAGCTGGTTGAGAGAATGCCAAGAGTGTGCGGGGCTGTCATCAGGGCAAGGGGTGGCTACTTTGAAGAATCTCAAATATAAAATATATTTTGATTTGTTTGATACTGTTTTGGTTGCTGCGTGGTTCCATATGTGTTGTTTCGTGGTTTTGATGTCTTCGCTGTTATTCTACAGTGTGGAGAGTGGTAAGAAGGTGAAGAGGAACCCTTGAATGAGTAGGTGTTCTAAAACTTAGAGGTTAGCATTCCATGAGATTTACACAACTTTCTACCTGAACGCACAAGACCAAAATGCTGTTTAACAGAACAGGATCAGACTGCTTTTCTTGGTCATGTTCAGTAGGATGTTTTACATCCATATCACAATCATTTCACAGCCATATCACAATCATATCACATGCTCATTTACATGGTCATCTTTGATACATCGTTATTGTGATCATTGTTTAGATTATCACATCACCTAGTGACCCGATTTAATAAATTGAACAAATCCCTTTTAAGTTTCTAATGCACAGGCCACACACACCCTGAGAGAAATTAAGACTTGAATGTCCTACATATTTCCAATGCATGTAGTGCATGAATGTTAGTTAAAGGCACAGGTGGAGTAGAGTCGGGCTTTGTTAGCGAAATGAACCCCTGAAGGAATGTGGGCAGCTCGCTCTCTGCTCCCGGGCTTAGAGATTACTTTTGACCTCTTGGGTCCAAAGTTGAGGCCAGGGAGGTCAGATGGGGAGGATTAGCGAGTCGGGGGTCGGACAAAACCCTCTCTTTTATCCCCAGGAAACATGGAACAAATGCTTCCCCAGTTCCTAATCAATCAGAGAGGGATTCATTGAATTGAGTTTTGCTCTGAGAAAAACAAAGATGTGGTACACTAGAACTTGGTCCTCTGTAGGTCAATTGGTAGAGCATGGCGCTTGTAACGCCAGGGTAGTGGGTTCGATCCCCGGGACCACCCATACGTAAAAATGTATGCACACATGACTGTAAATCGCTTTGGATAAAAGCGTCTGCTAAATGGCATATTATGTGGCGGAATGCACATATAATTGTTACGAACGCCATTATACCAAAGAAGAAGAATTGTGACGCGTACTGAGTATGCGAAGAGGCAGGACGCAGTCGCAGGAATTAACAAGGTCAAGGTTTACTTAACAATGAGCAAGAGAAATAACAAAGAGAGTAAACGACACAAAGATTAACAATCACACACAACATCATCCAGAACAGTCCAGGGCCGGACCCCTCGTAGCTGCTCGATGGCTGACGGAACCAGAGGGAGGGGGTACCGGTACTTGGTGGTGACTGCGTTCAGCCCCCTGTAGTCAATGCATGGTCTTAGTCCTCTGTCTTTCTTGGCCACGAAGAAGAAGCTGGCGGAGGCAGGTGAGGTAGAGTGTCTGATGAACCCCTGTTTCAGGGTCTCCGCCACTTACTTCTCCATGGCCTCAGTCTCCGCCATGGAATGGGGGTAAATGCGACTTGTCGGGGGGTGTTGTCCCTCCAGCAGGTCAATGGCGCAGTCCCAGGGCCTGTGAGGAGGGAGACACGTAGCCTTTAATGAAGAGAAGACATCGGAGAGATCTGCATACTCACGTGGAATGTTGGGCTGGAGGGCAGACTCCGGACTCTCCACTGACGTGGAACAACAAACCACCAGCAGGCAGGTCTTCCGGCATGAGGTGGACCAGGCTGTGATCCTCTTGGTGCTCCAATTGATGGTGGGGTTGTGTAGTCTGAGCCAGGGCAATCGCAAGACGATCCGGTGAAGGGGTGACGTGACGATGTGGAATGACAGCTCCTTGTGGTGCTCCGGTAGTGTGGGAATGGTGATGGTGATGGGGAGAGTGACGTGTGTAATGGTGCCTGATCCAAGGGGTTTATTGAGAGGTGACGTGTAGCAGAGATGGCAGTGGCACGGTGGGCAACCCCCATTCAGAGACCAGCTCCCTATCTATAAGGTTCCCCGCTGATCCGGAATCTATCATTGCAGTAGAAATGGAAGAGAAGGAGTAACCAGTCACCGTTGTGGGAAGTAAAAACAATGGTTTTGTGATAGGAGCTGACGTAACACTCATGGAGCAGCGACGGGAGTCATACCACCTAGATAGGGAGCCGCCAGGAGATCTGTGGTCTGTGGTGGTATAGGGGGTGCTGCCCACCTCCATGGGTGAGGACTCGGAAGCAGGGCGGCTTCCATAGCTCAGATGGGGTGAGCGTCGAGGCTCCGGGAGGTGTTGGGAATGCTGTCTCTCTCAACATGTCATCAAGACAGATGGACGTGGTGATGAGGGTATCAAGGTCCATCTCGTCGTCCCGACATGCGAGTTCCGTCTTGATGTCCTCCCGTAAGCCTCTCCTGAAGGCCGTGCGCAGAGTACGCTCATTCCAGCCGGAAGACGCTGCCACCGTGCGAAAGCTCAGAGCGTACTCGGACGCGGGCGCCTCTCTCTGTTGTAGATGGAGACTCTCACCCCCATCCTTTCCCTCCATGGGATGATCAAACACTGCCCTGAACCTAGCGAGGAAGGTGGGATAGGGAAGCGTCACTGCCTCCTCTCCTTCCCAGACTGCCGTGGCCCAATCCAGCGCCTTTCCTTTAAGAAGCGAAATCAAATCAAATCAATCAAATCAAATCAAATCAAATTTTATTGGTCACATGCGCCGAATACAACAGGTGCAGACATTACAGTGAAATGCTTACTTACAGCCCTTAACCAACAGTGCATTTATTTTAAACAAAAAAAGTTAGAATAAAACAACAACAAAAAAGTGTTGAGAAAAAAAGAGCAGAAGTAAAATAAAGTGACATAAAGTGACAGTAGGGAGGCTATATATACAGTAAAATAACGTGACAGTAGGGAGGCTATATATACAGGGGGGTACCGTTGCATAGTCAATGTGCGGGGGCACCGGCTAGTTGAGGTAGTTGAGGTAATATGTACATGTGGGTAGAGTTAAAGTGACTGTGCATAA